GACGCGGCGGTAACAGATAACGCACTCAAAGTTGTCAGCAGCTGATGTATCAAGTCACATGTGTTTGTGTCGCTTCTAGATGCGGTATACCGCTCCTGATTGAACCAGACGCATCCGTTTAACGTGGCAGCAACAGTTAACGCACTCAAACGTTTGTTACGTCGTCAGCAGCTGAGGTATCAAGTCTCAAATTGTTAATTCAAGCCAAATTTACTTCATAAAATAATGGCATTGTATGGGTTAAACCTCCATGATAATCAATAAATCGAGTATGACATCTATCAAGCTCTACGGGTTTGGATAAGGACAAAAAGCGTACGTCGCAACCGGTGGAGTTATACATTTATTTATACCATGAAGACGATTTGACAACAGTAGCAAATGATCTGGTAGGCCATCTTGATGCGATTAGTCACTGCAACGTCTGCAACCTTTACTTGGTCGACATAGACTTTAAAGAGCCCAGGGAGTGCTCGACCTGTTTGGTAAGATCCAAAATCAAATGCTATATAAATTGACTTCCGCAACCCACAGTCGATCACAGAGGGATAGCGCAACAGTCGTAAACCACAAAACCTTGGAAGCTTATGTCGCAATCAGGGTGGCGTGTGGAGTATCTACGCACATTGTCTATCCATTTTGGCTTATCATCTCCACAAAAATACTTGAAAGTGGGGCAAGAAGGCCAAGAAAAAAAGCTGCATAACGAACTGTATTTGTAAGCACTAGCGGGACCCCGACTATCATCAATAGCTTTTATCTCGGCGTCTTTAAGTTTTGATGAAGATAGGTGCCTTTGTTTAAAATGAAAGCATGGTGTCATATGTGCGGTCGAAAGCCTTCGGGGCTATCTACGCCAGGTGGACCTACCTTCAGTTATGCTGGCTTGTGCAAAGGCTGTGTTTAATAAAGGAAAGCTAAGGTGCAAGTCAGGGTCCTTGGGGTAGCTAAACAGGCTTGAGGTCGGTGCTTGCGTTCCGATAACCAGAGAGAATAGCGTATATAAAAGGCTTGCAAACTCATTCAAATTCACAGAAGGCGTGATCGCCTCCCATCTCGATGTTGGCGCGCTGACCGAAAAAAGTGGCCACGTCCTTTGAAGCTTAGCTTGGGCTTGGACCGCTCGGAACCTTTCGTGCGCTGATGATGACCGTTAAGTACTCAGTTCCAGTTTAGTCGTCGTGACTGCCGAGTCCCAAGAAATTGGCCGAACGAAGGGAACGCTGGTTGAAGGACTCTATGAGAAGGATCAGGCTATCTACGCTTGATCAACTTGCATTGAGAGTTCGGTAAAATTTAATAATGAGGAATTAATGACTGTGGGTTACAATCACCTGCTTGAGATAATTCCTACTCAAATCGGTCTGTTGTACACTTTAAACTTGATATTTTAAATCGCTTCTTTACCATCGGAGCCTAATACATATCGAAGTCAGGCTTCTTACAGTGTCCAGTCATTATTTGAGACGTGAGAGCTTGTCTAAATTATTGACAGATGATGTTGCACCTGTAACTCTTGTTTTTACATCCATATGGTATGCATCTGTCGATTTCGATACTTGATTTATCACAACGTCATAGTTTTAGTGTCGGCTTCGCTGAACGCTTAATCGCGAAGCCTGATCAAAATTTCAAGATTTTTCACGAAAAAAAGAACACATTGCGCTCAAGGTTCAACATTGTACTCTCAAACAAATACTTTTGCTCCTTGGGCCTTAGATGATACAATTCACTCTTTTCGATTACGGCGGAGCATTGTAGTACTTCTTGCATACATACCAAATTG